GTCCGGGCTGGGGATTCGAACCCGCCACCTTAGGTGTACGTGGCTGGCGCCTTAGCCGGTTGAGCTATAGGCGCCGAGCCCACTCACACTTTCATATGAAGAATAGATCACAACTATGGCCCAAGTTGAAGGAGGGAGGAGGAGGGGTTGGGAGGGGAAAGGGGATGTCAGACCGAGGGAGGGTGAATGGTGGGATCACACCTATGGTGTATAATGCAAGGGAACATGTTAGATCTATTAGCATAGAGTATAAATGTCTTAACACAATAATTAAGTAAACGAGGTATATATTAACGAGTGTGATGTAAGCGTTTCTAATTCTATATGAAATCAGCACATTGAACCCCATAAATGCATTAATGTATATATGAGAAAAAAAAAAGTACAAAGAGGTTCCTTGGGACATCTGTGGTAGGCAGAATAATGACCCCCCCCACCATGTCCAGATGCTGATCCTAGAACCTGTGAATATGTTAGATTACATGGAAAGGAGAATTAAAGCTGCTAATCAGCTGGCCTCAAAATAGGGAGATTATCCTGGATTATCTGGGCAGGCCAATATAATCACAGAGGTCCTTAAAAGCAGAAGAAGAGCCAGTCGGAGATGTGACTATGAAAGAAAGGCACAGAGAGACGTAATGCTGACAGCTTTGAAATCAGAGGAGGGTGGCCCAAGATTACCCCTAAGGGCTTCCAGAAAGGGGTACAGTCCTGCTGACTCCCTGGATCTTGGCCCGGTATGGCCCGTTTCAGATTTCTAACCTCCAGAACTGTAAGATAATAAACTTGTGTTTTCAAGCTGCTAAATTTGTGGTAATTATAAGAACAAGAGAAAACTAATGCAACATCTGACATCTTTGCAGTAATGGTATTCCTGAACACCAACCCCATAATTTTTTTGGTAATGAAGGGATACAAATTATATCATGTTGATGGCAAATTTTATAAAAAGGGAAGCTTCAAACCAAGCAGATTGAAATTAGGTACCATTTCAATAAATGAATAAATAAGGCCTAGAGAATGGCCCTGACTCCAAATTATTTGCTTCTGGGAATAAATTCCCCCCAACTTAGTGTTTGTCACACTTCAGATCTCTAAAAAGTTAACACAATTATTAGCCTTGGTCAAAATTGGTCAATTCTTCTTTAAGAGAACATATATTGCTAGCTTCTGTACTATTTTGCCTGAAAAAATTCACCATTCTGTGGTGCCTGTGGCTCAAAAGGGTAGGACGCCGACCCCATATGCCGGAGGTGGTGGGTTTAAACCCAGCCCTGTCCAAAAAAAACCCCAACTATTACCACTCATGGTAAATAGTTATTTGCAAGGCCTTGTCTATGAACACACTATTCAAAGAAATTCATTCTAGTGGATCAAACTTGTAAAAAAAAAAGCTGCTAATGTTTAATAGCTATGACTCCACTAAGAAGGCCATTAAAACCTCAGTCATGTCACATTAAAATGTCACATTAAATTCTATTGATACTTATATCAATATTCTTTTCTCCACAAAGCAAAAGCAGAACTTAGATGGCCTCAATGAAAAACACACACATTTCTTGAGGCTAAGCAAAAAAACCCCATTTTTAATTTGTAGCTTAAGTCATATTAGTTCAAAAGCCAGAGCACAGGCACCAGTCACATTAACTGTGATAGCACTGAAAACGAGTACGCTGGGCATGGTGGCTCACACCTATGATCCTAGCACTCCGGGAGGCTGAGGTAGGAGGATCACTTGAGCCCTGGAGTTTGAGACCAGCCTGAGCAACACGTCTCTACAAAAATTTAGAAAAATTAGCTGAGCATGGTGGTGTGCAACTGTAGTTCCAGCTACTTGAGAGGCTGAGACAAGAAGCTTGCTCCAGCCAGACATTTGAGGTTCTTATGACCTATGATGATGCCACTGCACTCTCGCCTAGGCAAGAGAGCAAGACATTGTCTCAAAAACAAAAAGAGAAATCAAAAGTAATATTAAATACTTAGCTCTACTTATGGTAGCACGAAATATCTTATTGCCATTAAAAAGACTGACCTGAACTCAAGAGAATTTATCATGAAAGGGTTGCCTTATGGACTTGAATCTGGTGGAAAAAGTTCAGCCCTCCTTCTGTCTCTAAGCCCCGTGATACCTGGCTAGGATGTGTATGGTGGAAGTTCAATGTGAAGTAAATGGAGTCTGAGAATCATGCCGTTTATATGGTCAAATCAGAATCTGCCCATCAGTCTGAGAAAAATAGGAGTGGATGAAAGCCACTGAAAGGGTAAGATAAACGAACCTATTTTCTAAAAAATTAAGGCAAACCTGGGCGCTACATATGAGAATGAGTGAGTGCATGAGCCCAGGGAAGCATGAAGTCCAGGTAGGTTCAATAAAGCAGCGATGTCCCAAAGCAGCTGCCAGGCTGGCACGATGACAAACACCAGCAGAACTCAGTGGTTTTCAAACCATGGGATTTCCAGAGTTGACTTAGAGCAGTAGTTTTCAACCTTTTCTATCTCAGTGCACTTGAACCTGTAGTTAAAACTTCCACAGCACACTTAAACTACGTTGAAACTATGTTGATCAAAAAATGAGTAGAAAAAAAGAATATACTTAACTGTGCTTTGAATTTCTTTCAAAAATAATTTAATCATCTTTAAAATTTTTCATGGCACACCTAAGATCCTCTCAAGGCACACTGGTTGAAAGTCACTGGCTTAGAGCATGTGACTGGTGCCTTGGGAATTACAGCTCTAAACTATTGGTTCAAGAATGTTCCTTACTATACCTATTGTTTTTATTTATTTTTTTGAAGCTCTCACAGACACGTACAGTATGATCCCACAAAAACATTCCCAGGGTAGAACGTTATTTTTCTTTTAATTTGTTGCCTTCTAAAACTATATTCACAAAGAACAACAAAGATCAGAGTTTAACAACAACAACAAAAAAGACAATTTAAAAACCTTAGCTGCCAGGAAGATTAAGGTGTGAATCTCATTATTCACATTACTTCACAAACAGCTGGGTGAATAGTTTGGTGGGGAGCGGGCTGAGATGGGTCCCTACAAATACAGGGACTTAGGCAGGTACTTAGAGCGCTGTGGCAAAGCACACCAATGAATGCTGTCAACACACTGGGGCACCCAGCAGATACGGGGAAGGCCTGAGTCAGCACACATGGTGGACACCTGCCCTCTGACAAGAGCTCCTCTCTGAGAATCCCACCTGCTGCTCGGCGAGCCTCTTCTGGATCTCTTGGTCATCACAGACATCGTAAACAACAGGCTTGGAAAGTTCGGATTCGATTCGAGCCAGCCAGGTTCGAAGGTTGCTCATGTTTTTGTCCAACTGCTGAATAAAAGCAAAGGTCTCCTTCAGCTTCTTCACCCTAAAAGTATTTGTGGAGATGGAAAACAAAAGCCCAATGTTTAGTGGTGAGAAGAATCTGTTAATAGGGCCTTGGAGGATAAAAAGGAACCTATGTTGCTGATTTTGTAGCAGAACAGCTCTCACATCAACTGATAGCAGTTTTTAGAGTATGTGCCACTTTGCAAAGCTCTTGCCTCTGCTGATTTTCAAGACTGAGAGTCAACCCACCCATGGGAATATGGCTATCATCCCCAAGGTGGCATCCCTGAGACCCAGCCCATGTCCTTGGGGTGCCAGAGGTGAGAAGAGATGCCATTTCTTTTTTTAAGTTAATAAACCACTCCTGACTTGCTCTGCCTAGTTTGTCTCGGGTATTCCTGAGACTGCAGCAGCCGGAGATCCACCCTGACAGATTAAAGATGTCACACGGGTGGTTCGCTTTGTGGTATTAAGTCCAAGGGGTAGAGGGTGCTGCACATACTGAACCAGCCCACTCGGGCCCTTTATGGGGCAGGTGTCAGTCACAAAGGGAGGGGCAGAGGTAATGTTCATGCCTGACATTCTAGCCTCCATCTGCCTTGCCAGCCTACCCTTGTTCCCTCAGCCCGACCTGGCGTGGAGCAGATGTGAGACAATACACAGCATCAGCACAGCTGGGCGCTCATGCCAGCACACTGTCAGGGGACATGGTGTAGCTGCTGAGAGGAAACAATCTTGTGTTTTTATAGATACTAAAATAAAATGCTTTGATAAACTGCTTTTTTCTTTCTTTCTTTTTTTTTTTTTGAGACAGAGCCTCAAGCTGTCGCCCTGGGTAGAGTGCTATGACATCACAGCTTATAGCAACCTCCAACTCCTGGGCTCAAGCAAGTCTCCTGCCTCCGCCTCCCAAGTAGCTGGGACCACAGGCGCCCGCCACAACGCATGGCTATTTTTTTTGGTTGCAGCCATCATTGTTGTTTGGTGGGCCCGGGCTGGATTTGAACCTGCCACCTTAGGTGTATGTGGCTGGCGCCTTAGCCACTTGAGCCACAGGTGCCGAGCCAATAAACTGCTTTCATGAAAGTCCCAAAGGAGAGTAAGGATGTGCCCTGATGATCTCTGGGATTTTTAGTTAATCCCAGAGACTTGTAGTTATGGCTTCAATGCTCATGCTGGGAGATGCTGTCCACCACACTGCTGCCATCAACACCTCTTTCCCACTTCCAGTTCTGAAGCCAAAGTGTACGTTCTAGAAGGCAAGTATGTTTCATGCTTGAAAGCTTCAATAATCTTCACCCTACCCTGACAGAGGAATCCCATCCAAGTCTTTCCTATACTCAAGTGCCCTGTGTCTACCCTGCACTCTGCAGACTGGCTCCTCTTTCCTTCCAGAGCTTCTACTGACACCCTTCCTCACGCTCTGCCTCATGCTCTCACTGTATCATGTGGGCATCTTCTGGCACCCCACACCCACCAGGACAGAGATTGCATCTGCCTTGCTCCCCTGCACGAGCAGCACTCCCTACTGCCTGGTGGGCAGCAAGGTGCTGACAAATGTTTGTTGAATGGATAAATGTGGATAAGCACCTCCACCACCAGCTGTGATGTAAGTAGACTATAGAGTTGTGCGCTTTTTTTGCATCTTACAATTGACCAAGTCAAGCCCAGGAACTGACTTCCAATTCCAGCTTTATTACCAGCCACTTTATGGAGAAATCTTTTTATCTCAGCCCCCTTATCTATAGTAGGCTTTTGCAGTTCCTTCTGCTTCAGGGAAGCGTATGTTTTAAAATTCTGGGAAGTGGTAATGTCTGGGGGGAGGTTAAGGCCAGAGCTAAGGAGGTGAGCAGACCAGGGTCCAAGAACCATTCTCCCATCTACGAGCTCTGCACCCTGAAAGGTGTGCCTTCTGACTCCTGAGTTTCCTCATTATCTGTAAAATTAGCCTCCTTGTAGGTGTTTGTGAGATTGGAATGAGAGGCTGCATATATAGCCATTGGCATGGAGTGGGTGTGCACAACACCAGCTTCTGCCATGCCCCTGGGTTTATACGATGCTGTAATAATGCCTTATGTATAGAGCTCTGTCATAAATGTTACATTCTCAACAGCACCTAGCCATGAGGTTTGTTGCTTTTTTTGTTTGTTTGTTTTTTGAGATCGTTTCACTAAGTCATCCTTGGTAGAGTGCTGTGCTGTCACAGCTCACAGCAACCACCAACTCTTGGGCTTAAGTGATACTCCTGTCTCAGGCTCCCAAGTAGCTGGGACTACAGGCACCTGCCACAACGCCCGGCTATTTTTTGTTGCAGTTGTCATTGTTGTTTTACCTGGCCGGGGCGGGTTCGAACCCACCAACCTTGGTGTATGTGGCTGGGGCAGTAACTACCGTGCTATAGGTGCCAAGCCTGGCCATGTGGTTTTTCTGTGAAGAGCACAGATCATGGTTAGAGCCTGAGTGTGGGTCCGGGCTGTGTTTACTTCATCTGTGAGATGGTGTTAATAGTAGCACCTTCCTTAGCTGGGGTAGCTGAGGGCTGAATGACATACAACACAGGAAGGCATCTGGCATACAATGCCTAGCCCACAGATGCCCTGCGGCTATGGTCGTGATGAGTTTCAAGGAGGTAGTTTTCCAAAGTATAGGAGAAGTTCTCTTCAGAGCCACCAGTTGATTTATTAAAAAGGAAGTAACAGAATCCAGGGCCAGGCCTGGATATGGTTGTAACCTAGATCCCACCTCCATTCCCAGGGCTTCAGAGGAATGCCCTCTTCACCCCAGCGTCTGGTCACCCTGATAGTCCAGGGACCAGAAAGAACACTCCAGACAATGGCCAAGGTCACTGGGAGCCCTGGCACTGTGGCACAGAGAGTCTTTAGCTCAAATGGGGAGGGTGCTGCCTCCTGGAAGGCTCTGCATGTATATAGAGGGAAGGTCAGGCTCATGACCTCTGCAGAGCTATCCTGCCTGCCCTCTGCCTCCTCCAAGAATGACAGCCCCTCCCCCATTCAGCACCTGACCCTATTCTGCCTCTTTCTTATTTTATAAGAAGACTAGAATGCAAGTGTTTAAATGGAGGGAGCTAACGGTGACAAAATAACCAGGGCACAAAAACACAGGGGTGTAGCGACCTTGAGTTCTGTCAACACTGGCAGTTTGGCATACCATAAGTGGCAGGGGGTGGGGGGAGTGATTTGCTTCCCCAGGACTGTGGTATCCAAAATGGCGTGCTCAAGACCAACCAATGAAGTGGTGGAAGTCTTAGACTATCTTCTGTCATCATATCCTTTTAAACGTTCTACATGGCATATATTTTAAAATTAATAAACTTTATTATTAAAACAAAACATCTGTATCACATGCTAATATCTACACCTGTTGGGCTTCACATTAGCAACTCATTTAATCATCAAACAGTGCCATGAGATCAATACTATTATTATTCCTATTTGACAGGTAAGGAAACTGAAGCACAGATAACTCACTCAGATCACATGGTCATTATGTACGAGAGGCAGGATTTCAAGCCTGACAGTCTGGTCCTGTGAGGCTGCTCTTAAAACTGTCCTTCTGATGGTGTACAGAAATTCTGCACATGCTGTAGCATCACACACTGGGGTGCTGGACAGTTTTTCTGCTGTCAGGGACCAAGACCAGAAGCCTGGACTCATGGCTCAAGGATGCACTGAGGGGTGGACACTGGTCCACTGATGCTGGGGAGGCGGTAGGAAGGCACAGTTTCCCCTCCACAATTTTCTTTCAGTAAACACTCGATCCTTTGCTCTGTCTTGGGTCCTGAGCAGATCCTGAGGATTTAGATAAGAAGACCTATCTTCTGACAGGTCTTGTTCCCAAAGAGTGCATCACCTAATCTAGATGTAATTTAGACATCATAGTACAACGGAGAACGGCTCAATAAATAACAATTGAGTGAACAAATGATGTTTACTCCTATCTTCCAATTTGTCTAATTTTTTCATAAAGTAGGTAGCCATGTTATATTTTAAAGAAAAGAGGCCAGGCACAGTGGCTCACGTCGGCAGTCCTAGCACTCTGCGACACCTAGGCAGGAGGATCACTTAAGATCAGGAGTTCGAGACCACCTTGAGCAAGCTCGAGACCCCACTCTACAAAAGTAGAAAAATTAGCCAGGAGTGGCAGCAGGCATCTGTAGTCCCAGCTGTTCAGGAGGCAGATGCAGGAGCTTGCTTGAGCCGAGGAGTTTGAGGTTGCTGTGAACTACAATGATGCCACTACATTCTACCTGGAACAACAGAGCAAGGCCCCCTCTCACAAGAAAAAATGAAAAAAGAAAAAATGAAAGAAAAGAAAGGAAAATGGTAAAGACCAGAGTACATGGGAACCCTTTAGCCACAAAACACGTGCTGCTGTATGTGAACCACATGTGTCCCCAAACCCTGTTTTCACATGGGGTAGTGAAGTGGTACCAACACACCAATCAGAAGCAAATTAAAGGGGAATGGAAGGCAGGAGGAAAAAAAGGAGGTCACAGTGGAGAAGCTGCTCCTCCAGGCAGGATTTAACCTGCTTCTATTTCCCACCTTCTGTCTGCAGCCTTACTACCCCATAATGCACGGGAACATCAACGTTGCCCCTCAGATTATCATGTTAGACAGAAGCGGCCGTGAGGTTGAGTTTGTCTCATTCTTTACAGATACTGTCACCTAATTACCACCTGTCCCAGGTCAGGAAGTACCTGTCATTTGCCAACCTAGGCAGCTGACCTCCACAGTAAGCCTCATTAATATTGTTCTTGGAAAAATTAAAATCTTGGGTTAATATTGAGAAACAAGGAAACCACTCAGAAGCCAGACCACGCACACGGAAGCAGCGCACTCAGCGTTCATCAACCACCCAAGCAGCTTGTTTACGTGGCTCCCAGCCCTGCACCTGCTCATGCTTCCACCCAGGTGCCCAGGACTAACATTTCTCTACAGTCCAGCAAATAATGTATTTTAGTTCTCAAGTAAAAATTTCCATTTCTGAGGATCAAACTCCTCCCCCAAATTTATAGGT